ACAGTCAGACATGCACACCCCAAAATGTCACTGCCATTTGAAGCCAGACTGCTGCTTTAGGGATAGTTTCTGGCACTTTTGCAAGATGTTTTAGTGCCTCGGCATTTTCCCCAATCTGGTATTTCGAGGCCCTTTTCTCTCACAGGTAGTGTTTCTATGCAAGCATACAGGCAAAAAGCTGAGCCACAAGAGATCTTTTACTGTAAACTGCCAGTACTTTGGAGTACATGATTCACCCTGAATTATCAAATGGTTCCACTACACCCAAACAAAGTCTAAGGTCTGTCAAAATAAGTTGCACTGAGACATCCCCTGATGCTTCAGGAAAGAAAAGGAGCATTGTTCCTTATTTAGCAGAATGTAGTCACTAGCCCTGTACAGACAGGGAAAAGAAGCTTTGTGAAGAGACTGAGCACACAGTATGACTGAACAGTGCTTTTTGCAAGCAAGACCTTTCATATGAAGAAAATGGGAAGTGACACCCAGTGAGGTTGGCTGGTCCAGGATGAAGGGCACTAAAGGCACATTTAGGACACAGACTATTCCTCATTCTGCCAATGACTCGCTGTGAATTTGGCAGCCCACTTTACCTCTGTGTGCCTCAGTTTCTAGCTATAAAGCAGCTGTACTGATGTTTATGTTCCCTATAAAATGCTTTGATAACAATAAATCTTTGACTGTTACTGTGCAAATGCACTGTAATACACCCTGCCAAAGGACAGCCACTGCTATGCAACCAAGTAATAGCCTCACTTAGACATACAGTAAACCTCAGGTAGGGATTGAATCCTAACTGCTCAACCCCTAATCCTATATAACAGCAGATACCTGCCCTTGCCAATAGTCCTATTGCTGGCCAGGCACAAGGGCTTTGGGAAAAATGGGTAAGAATTCCTGCTAGGGCAAGCAATTGTCTGCTAAAATACATCTCCACGTAAATCCAGGTGTGGGAAGCCCCAGCTGTGTTTTCTGATGTCTGTACTTCAGGCTTACCAGCGTTAGAATGCAGTCTCTTGCAGACCAGACAGGCAAGCTGCCAAGGTTCACATGGTTCTTCAGATCCCAGCCTTTCTCACTCTGGCCAAGCCTTAAACAAGTGTGCCTGACCATACGCTTTAACAGTGTGGAGCAGATGTAAAATACTAGTGGACTCATACCAAAACAAAGCTGATGTGAAATGAGACTTGGCACTACTGTGTGGAAAACAGCAACATCTCGATAAAGCTTAATGTATTTAGTGAAACCCAGGCTCTGAGGTATTTGGTACTACAGGGAGAATTTAGTTATCGGCCGGTCCTAATGGGCTGAACTGGACAAGGGAGACAGGAGTCAAAACAGCTCTCTTCATAGTGAATCCTATTAGCTATAAATAGCACTCATTGCAAGGAGAGGGTGAGTGCAAGATTCTTCTGCTAAGATCACAGCAGCAAAGACATTTTTATCACAGATCATGCATGTTACTCCAAGAGGAACAGAATGGCTGCCAGAACAAGACAGTAGCAAGTCTATGCTGCCAGAAAATTACTTCAACCAGAAAAGCAAACCAAAACGAAACCCAGGTCATCTCCCACAGCCAAGGATTCAGATCTCACGGACAGGATGCCATCTCATCAGCTCAAGTCCACCAGCAGATACAGCAAACCTTGAAGAGCGAGGTAGACAGACTGTATGTGTGGGAAATCCAGGAAATACCTACTGCAGATGCCACCCAGCTAAGAACCTACTACTCAAGGAAAAATATTACATGAAGCACTTGGTGAGGGGGCAGGCAATGAGCAGCCTACTAGGGAGAGAACACAGCGCCCTGCCTGCACTGCACCACTTCCTGTGTGCATACGGCTGAGGATTAGCAGTTCTCACATAGCAAAATGTGTAGGTATTTCCACACGCAGACAGAGCCTTATGCAGTAACCTTGCACTTCACTTTGCTGCTGTTGGAAGACCTTGATTTCAAAACACCGTCCGCTTGGGCTCTTGAAAATTCACTGCCATTTCACTCTCTGGAGAGGAGCCAGTCCCAGGCTGGTTGTTCAACATAATCTCAGAGGGAAAAAATAGCCATTTCAAATGACTCACTGCACACAAGCAACTACATAATTAAGATTGACAGAGGAAATGATCTGACTTGAAAATGAGAAGGTATATTATTGTTAAAATACAGACACATTAATGTCTTGGAGCTGTCAGGCCCATATCTGACACATTTCTGTGTGCCCCATCTGTTTTAAAGAACTGACAGAAGTGTGAGCACGTATCTCAAATAAACTGCATTTCTTCAAGGAGAGCGAACAAGCTGAGGCCACGTGGGCAGAGTCACCACAGAGGAGACCATGCCCTCTATGGTTTCCTTGCATTATAAACTACTGCTTTTAGCAGCCATACATTCCCATGCCACGATCCAGCTGTGAGATTGAATTATTTAGCTGCCTCAGAGCAGGGTAAGTCTCAATAAACAGGGAAACACCTTCAAGGCAGGGTAGTCTATTAATGAGAGAGGGGCAGGAGCTGCAAGATGCCGACAGGGGAGTTCACTGCATTTCAACATTAAACAAAAGTCATCCTGCTTTGGATGTCTGCAGGTGACACTGTCCACAACATACTTTGGCCAGGGACTCTGAAAGCCAAGAGAAATACACTGGCCTGAACTTGCAATTTATAGGGCCCCTTTAGCAATCTGTGATTATGTTCATCATGGAGAGAGCATCAGTCTAACAGATGATCTGTGAAGCAGAACAGGCATTAGCTGCAGAAGGGGCAACTATGCTGCATTCTCCATGCCCGCTCACAAGACAATAAGGCTGATCGGGTGGCTCTCAGCCAGCAGGATGGACAGAGAGGGAAAAGAATGCAAAGGAACAAAAGAAACTTGCCTGTAGCATCTTGGCTGTGTTGGATAACTTTGCAGGCATGGTTTATCGACCAAAGGTGCAAGATAAATACACACAATGAATATCCCTAGAGAAACTGGAACTATGCCTGGCCTCTAGGTCCCAAGCAGGTGTTGGGTTGCACCTGAGCTCTGCACATACACCTAGGAGCTTGCTAGCAACTTACTTGTGTATGTTAATGCACAGATTTGGAAAGTACATCCTTGTATTTCAAAGTATCTAGTCACCAAAAGAGCCACCAGGCCAGAAAAGATGCTCTATCAAAAGAACAGATACTGAGTCTGCAAGGCAATTCCTGCAATACCCCAATTCACTGCTTGTGTTAAATTAAGTCCGACTTTCTATCTTGAATCTGTTTATATACCCAAACATTAGGTTTAGTAGCCACTCACTTCCAGCCTTCTAACATCAGTGCTGTGTTGGGCTCAGACACCTTGGGACACTTTCAGATTCAGGGACTTCTATAAATAAACACCTAAGGTACAAAGAGATAGGGGAGGAAGTACAGTTGGTAGATCAAAACAGAAGGCATGGAATTACAGGGTTTCTTCTCATTTCCAGCTGTGTCTGTGATGTGATGCATATCCTTGGCAAGTCACTTAATCTCTCTATACCATAGGTTCTGCACTTGCAAAATTGATTTGAATTTTACTTCTGTTATGATGTGAAGCATGTGATGTGGCAGAGAGATTCCAATTGGGAAACATGAGAGCGAATCTGTTTTTATGGTGGGAGAGGGACTTTTTTTCCACAGCTGAGCAGTCTGTGGGTAAAACCAGACAGTGAGGGTGGGGCTAGCACTGAATGTAAAACTATTCTTTGCTCCTGTTATTAATTATGTTATTAATATACAGGTTACTATAAGCTTATGCCAGAGAAGGATCTGCTGCCCTCGAGCACAAGAAGTGTAAGCTTGAGCTAAAGCAATACCTTTGCTAGCTAAAAATGAGACTGAGAGACTCTGTGGAGGAGGGGATGGAGTATTTACACAGTTACGCAGAGCAATCAAAGGGGGCCTGTGGCTGGTGTGAAGTTGTGAGGCTCAAGTTTCATGCCCAGTTTGTTTTCCCCATGATGCTGTTAGGCCTAGGACCGATGTTCATTTTCTGTGAAGAATGGAGCATGGAGGCAGAACAGTCAGGTGACAGCTGAGCTTTGCAAGGGTGAGGAACCACTAAACACAAACAAAAATAAGCTATGCACTCTAAGAAAGAATAAAAAACATGAAGAGACTATCCCTGCCATCAGGTGAGAAAGCAAATAGCAGCCACTGTTTGGTTTCAGCACAAGCCCCCACAATTTTCCTTCCTTTTCAGCTTACAGACAGGAAATCGTGCTCCAGCACGGTCTGCACGATGCACAGCCAGGCACTGGCTGCCCCGGCATTTTGTACTGAGTCCACAGAGAGTCCAATGGAACTAATTTTTTGTGCACCCTAAAGAGGGAAGCCAACAGCAATCTGCACTCCCCATGCAGTTACAGGATTCCCGTCTCTGGAATTTCTTGGTACTTCTCACTCCTTATTTGATGATTTATTAGTCTCCCTAACAGCAGAATAAGCAAATAAAGAACACTTTTAAAATTACATTTTCCTGACCAAGATGAATTTCAGTCCCCTAGGGATTCAACTTACAGAGTAAGATGGGGAAAAAAATAGCCAGCCTGCTCTTTGTCAGCCTCTCCCAAGAAACGTGTGTCCACAAAGCAGATTTACAGGCTGACACCCTTCAGAAGTAGAGACTTCACATACTCAGGAGAGGAGTAAATTCTCTAAAGTAAACTGTGCTCCATAATGTTGCCGCAGTTCACATTATTTACTGGTACTACAGTAAAGCGCTGCGAAGAGAATAAAAACCCGAGCTAAAAACAAACACCAGCTGTAAAGCAGCCACAAACTCTTTAAAAACTGTTGCTGATTTGCAGACCTCGGGTTGAGCTGCCCAGTATGCCTGTCTGCTAGTAAGCAGCTCTCCTGCCCTGAAATCTTGCTCATTTTTCTCCTTCTCTGTTCCTCGAAGCACTGGGAGACATAACAGTTCCTGAGAGATGCTGCACCAAAGCATGCTGCCTTGCCCCGGAAAGGTCTGTGTGAGCCTAGGGACATGCGTTTACCTCTGTGAAGCCCTCCTGAAGAATATCCAGTAAATTGCCCCTGGCCAAACAACCGAGCATTCTCCACAAATCCAGCGGGTTGGGATCTCAGAGGACACAGGGCAGATCCTCCAGCTCTGGGCACGACCTCTTCCTCCTTCTCCCGAAGACAAAGAGTTGGAGCTCATCAGGAACCGCATTCATAGTCCCATACGTGCAGCCCGTTACTGCACAGAGTTGAGCCGCAGCCAAGGCTTGCACAGGGCATGCTCGGGAGGGAGCTGCCGGGGGAGTGGCAGGAGAGATGTCACACGGTTCCTATGGAAACGCTCCAGCTTACAAGATGCAGGCCCAGGACTGAGTTGGGGAAACATCTGAAACCCATTTCCAGCAGTCGTACTCACACAAAACCTGCTGCGTAAAAGAGATTTTCAAACCCACCAAACACAGCAAACCCTGTACGGCATGGGGGCTGGGAGAGAGTCAAAGAACAGCAAACAGCAGATGCCTTGCTCAGCTAGGAAAGCAAAAGGAAAGATGGCAAGAGCTGCCAGCTTTAACTCTCAGCAATCGTTCTGCAGCCCCGAAGAAACAGCAGTGTTGTCAGCAAGCTGGTAGAGACAGGAAGCTGCAAACCAGGCTACAACACAGCTAGTAACGTTTGCACAGTACTCAGCTCTGCTCTAGCTGCCCTGGCAATGAAGTCGAAAGAAGAAGAAAGGCAGAAAACTTTCAAACTAGAATTAAATACAATCCCCAGCAAATTTTTCTAAGTCAATAACAACTGCATTCATACCAGAAACAAGTATCAAATATCTCCAGGCAATCTCTCAAACTTCATCTCACCTTATAGTAAATGCCATGGGGAAGTAAAAACAAAAAAGAAAAACCTCTCAGAATGGATGACAGCGCCTTCTGCCAGGGGCTCTGGCTACCAGTCCACAGAGCAACACTGCAAGTACTGCCCAGTGGTACCAGACTGTGCCTTCAGATTTCAAAATATCTGGCCAAACATTCCTAAGTGTGAGACACATTTGAAAACAAACATGTTTTTCTGCCTAAGCATTGAAGCATCTGGAGGAAAAAGCAATCGCATAATTTTACCATTTTACCCTGTCACATATGGAGATGCAGCTAAAATACAGAAAGACAAGCAACAGGTAATTTTCCTCTGTAACCAACCCAAGTCATTCAAAAAGGAGTCTCCCCACGCCTCCATGACATAAGTTTTAAATTATTTATTCATATTTGCCTTCCCTGCTTTTCATAATTCAGTGGCAACTGAGATTTTTATGTTTTCATTGATTGTAAAATCACATCTGTTAAGCAAAACAACAGATTACGGTGAGGCTTTCCATAAAGTCTTGTAAGCTGGCAATGCTGGTGGTTAGTACCTCGATCCAGTTTACTTCTGAGACTCAAAATGCCATTAAATAGACAACAATATTTATCCCCATTTTTTGTGATGCAACCAAGTAGCTTATGCCTTTGCAATTTCAATAAAATTTCATAGAAAACCTGAATTTCATAGAAAAACTTAATTTCATAGGAAAACTGAATAAGTGGTTTTCCCATCAGACAGAAAGTGACCTAATTAAAAAAAAAAAAAAAACAACAACCACAAAATACACCCTGAGCCTTTTCTGTGGACTTTATAATGCTATTTTTGACTAATAATCTCACAGAAAAACTTATATTTATTATCTGGTTTTCGGTGCTACACAGTAAACATACATTCATAGAAGACTTCTAATATTAACAGGTAAGGATGCTGAGATCATTCCTTCCCTATATCACTTCAATTTCTGGAATAAAATAAATTAACTCCAGATGTACTGATGTAAAATCAAATGTAGTCTGAATGTACAGAGAGGTTGCAGATGGCTGTTAGGTATTCTCTGATTGTTTTTATAATTTGCTTTATGAATTTGATAGCAGATTAAATATTTTATGCTCATAATCCTTGCAAGCTTTAGATATTTACCCTTGTCCTTTGAGGAGCAGAGAAGCCAAAGGCAGGGAGTCCCTAGCCACAGACTTTACACTGGAGACATAACCCAAATTTACAGGATTAAAAAAAAAATAAAAATAAGAATAAAGAGATAATCTGTTCAAACAGAATAAAAATGCGAAACACAAACAGGATTTAAATGTAAAATGTACTGTTTAAATCATGGTGATACACTGAGAACACCAGTTCCTTTATCATGGTCCACCTCATTGGCATTTAGCGGGTGTCCTGTTGCATTAGTGATAGGCAACAGTGAAGCACTTTTAAAACCTGTACTCCACCCTGTAAGAACTACAACACATCTGGGCAACAGCAGGATATCGAGACGGCCATAAAGTCACTGCTTGCAGTGCAGCCTACATTTGTCCATAGAGCTTGTATGTTAAGTCTTGGCAGGCATCTCCAGTTTGTCAGGGGTGCAGACGGGCTTTGTTCAGAAGTGGGACACAGCGATTTGATCATCTAAACTCAAACCAGTTCCAAGGTCCCTGTACAAGCTCTCTGTGGCACCACCCCCAATTACAGCTTAGCGGTCATATGAGATACATAACACATCCTTCAATCACAGCGTGCTCCCCATGCCACTGCATAGCAGGACACATTACACAGCGTGATGGTGAGGGGGCCGTCAGCCACATGGATTGAGCAGCTGGCTTTGCATACAAACCACACAAAGAATCCTGGACTTCCTTTCAGAAACGTAGTGATGGAGCTATATACGTGTAACAGATAAAGTAGTCAAATGTGGTCTAGAGACGGGCAATTTCTCATAGGCCAACCAAATACAGCAAATGACAAAAACCACCCACGTAGTTATTAGTACCAAGAAGCATTTCTCTCACCCCTACGCCATATACCCCTATTTCCTGGCACAAATCAGAGGACCTAAAGCCAGATGTGCCACCCATAGTACAGTAGTGCCATCCCTGAGAAATGCAGAAATACTATCTCAGCTGAACATATTGGGGGAACTGTGAAGAAGTTGGTTTGGATCGGAGAGACTGTTCAAGCCAGAAGTCCTATCCTGCCTGCCTTTTTGATCAACCAAGAAAAGCTGGGACTGATATCTGTTATTCAGGTAGTCCCATATCCCTGTTACAGAGCTTCTACCTACCAGAACACCAACACAGCGAAAGGCAAAGTGTTCTCATTATACATGCCAGGTTCAGGTATAGGCCTGCTCGTGATAGGTTTTCCATCAGAGATTTTGTCATCAAAGATTTGCTTCTACATGGGGTTTCTTATCTTTGAAACAGAACTGCCTCGCTTTGACAATATGAATGTCAGCGAACAGAAACTAGGCCATTTCTGACGGCTAGACTGAGAGGCAGAGCATGCTGAGCCATTCTTCTGTTTATTGTGGTAACAGACGTGCCGCTTGGGTGTATGTGTGTGCTGAAAATACCTTTTAAAAATTAACCACTAGTTCTCCCATCTTTGTGTTTCACTCTTAAATTTCAAGCTTCTTGTAGCAGGAATCATATTTTTCTTTCAGTTTTATAACATCATAATAGATGCCTTTGAATGTTATCTTTGCAAGAAGCAAACAAAACAGCCTCTCGCTAAAACTAATGGTTCACAACACTCCCTGAAAATGATTCCAAAATGAAGGGCACGGGGCAATGATATCAAAAGGAAGAGGATCTCCGCATCAACTGTTCCTGGTGTGACGGTCAGAACCTGTAGGACGGGAGTTTGGTTGGTGGCATTGCCCTCTCCTGGCCAGTTCCAGCATAACTCTAACCCTTGTACTTGCCTCTGGAATTCTGGGCAAGTTGCATGACAAGGGCCTGTTACTGCTCCATTTCCTGTTGTTGTGATGAGGCTGTCGTCGTGTCACAGCAGCACCACTAGTATCAACAAATAAGGCTTCCTTCAAGCCTTCCATCCCAGGATTTTAAGGCACCTGATCAACATTCTCCGATTGTTTCACTTATCAGTTCTTGAGAAACAGAGAAAGATCAATGGCCACAGTTCAGCTCTTGCTAATAAAATTTTGGTTGGGGAAATAAAAGCAAGTGAGTCTGATTCAGAACCAAAGGCTGTGAGGCTTGTGAGGCCATGACTGCAGTAACAGCAAAAAGAGCTGCCTAATGCAACTAATGCCTTTGTGTCACTGAGTGTCCCCTCCCAACCTCCCCAGCAAGTACCCAAAACAGATGTCAGACACAAAAAGGACTCCTGGAAACTCACGGAGGGTGCAGCAGGCTGTGATGTGTGTTGGGGCACCATGTCCACCAGAGTTCCTGGGCTGGATGCCACAGCTCAGCTCAGTGCCAAGGGAATGTACCAGCACTCCTTTCCCCTTGAAGCCTGTGGGGGAGAAGAGAATGTATAAAATACAAAGGAAAGAATTTTCTTAGAGGGAGAACAGACTTACCAACGAAGTGTCTGAATATTAAGCAAAACAAAGGAGGAAAGTTGCTACTTCTTTCATTGCCTGCAGAAAACAAATTTAAGGGCTACAGTCTTAGGTAAATTTGTATATTTTTGTATTTTCTTCCACATGTAAAGTATGTATGGTGGACAGAATTCCCCTGAAACACGTGTAAAAAGGATTCCCGATTACATTGGCTTACGCTGCACATAGGATCTTATTATCTCTTCCCATTTGTGGAGGGGGAATCCAAATTCAACAGGAGTCAAATATGCCAGGCAAATCTGTATTGGTCCTTACTGTCAAATATTCAGGGTATTACTTGATTCGGTGCATTTCGCCCAGACAGCAACAATTCATAAATAACTTTAGGAAACAATTCCACATGCTGGCATTTATGTTTAGGAATTTTCCGGTAATCTGTATTTTCTTTGCTTAGTCTTCCTTTAGAAGTCTGGAGTGAAGTCTGGTGAAAGGGAAGGCGGGGGCGTTTGGAAGAGTTAACTGAATGGCTAATGGTAAGATTCCTTGAGAAAGACTGAATGCCAGTAGGAATCGCTGGTTTTAAGAATCATTTAAAGGTGGGCAGGAGCGTAACCCTTAGGCAGATGGTCACGATTACCTTGGTCGTGTCATCCCGCTACACCTCTAGGGACCAAAGGTCGGGGGTAGGACAGGACGGGTAACAGCGGC